GGTCAAAATGAGGCCTGCGTGGGGTGGGAGTAGATGGCCCTGGTTGTACTAAGACCGTGTCTGCCACCGGTTCTGCCGCCACCGTGTTGTCTGTAGCTGAAGCTTTTGCCACATTCAGCAGAAATGCCTTGTATTTCAATTTTGAATGAGGGTTTAGATTTTTGAAAACCAAAAATGAATTGAAAATGGCACAATTTATAAGCCACAAGGCAACTTTCTTTGTCCACTTTACTGTTTTCCGAGGAAGAGAATAATAGGCCAAGTACTGATCGGCTCTATCAACTCCCTTCATGAACATATTATACTTGGAAATACAAACAGGCTTCTTTACCTGTCCATGTCTCCTTTGAACATCAACCATGCTCGAATTGTGAACTGTGGAAATCAAATTCACAACACTATCTCCAAAAAACAGTTCTGCTACTTCAGACACTTTTGTTGGGTCCGATGGAATTTGCTCCACCCCTGGATTTCCAGTAAACTGTCCCAAAGCAGGTGTTTTGTCTACTTTTCCCCATGTGGCTCTCCTCACAATGTTGCTACCCGCACTTTCGTCAGAGCTACTGTCACTTTCAATTTCACTTTCAGTGTCTGTGGCCACAATTTCTTGTTCGCCCCTGCCACACTCACTATCAGACTGTGAGTCGCTATCACTAGCAGACTCACAAGGGATGTCAGATAGCTCATCGGAGAACAAGTCAAGATATTTCTTGTTCTCCGGGAAAACGCTTGGACCTCAACCTCTTCCGACCTTGATCCATTTTGCACTAGTAACTTCCTGCCTGGTGCATGCAGCTGAAAGACGAACAAAGGCATTTTCTTTTGGAGTGAGGAAGGAAAAGAGTTGGGTCATGTTACTGACTACGAAGCAAACACTCAAGAGGTCTATCACGCACCATTCATGCGTCTGCCTGGCACCAGTGCAAGGTATAGTGTGTTTCAACATAACATGTCCTAAAGTCATAATAATATGGCACCGGTCCGCCACGTTTAAAAGCGCTGGGCATAAAAATATGCCACTGGTCTTCAAAGTGTTAACACTACTGTGATATGAAAGCAAGAAAACAGGTCAGAATATGTTTCAAGGTCACATGCCATGAGGCCCAATGTACTATCAAAGTCATAAAAGAAAGGTGATTCACAGATTTGTAATTTCAAAACATTCTGTGTCAGCACACGTCACTCAACATAAAATTGGCAGCTGATGTCTAGAAATGTATTAGTGTGTATGGGAAGATTGCGCCAAAAAGTCACAGGTACTGCAGTTATAATTTATAATTTAAAACTTTGATGATTAAATACAGAAGTGACAACTGTGAAGCATCAAGAAAATATAATGTCTCGCAAGGTGAATATCCAAAGGTAGAAACAAGAAGCCCAAAACTCAGGCCAATTCCATGCAAAAACTGCTGTTTTATGAATCCAAAGCCAGGATGGAATGTGAATTTAGTGCAACATCATTACACAACAAAAGGCTGAAATTTTAAGTCTACCTTAGGGCAGTATGCATTAACTTTTGCGAAGGAACATGTTCTTATTTTATAGTGACACTTTGCAAATAGTTACTGTCATGCTCTGATGCAATGGCTATGAAATGGCAGTGCATTTTGATACATCTAATTACACCATCAATGACACATCTGCTGTGACAGTGCACAACAAAAGCATTTATACAATATTTTGAGACTGAAATATGAATTTCCATCTCACCATTATTTATCCTGATTCAATGTAAACAATTTTCAATCCACACATTAAATCACAACTCTTTCATGTACTTTTCTTTATTCAATATAAAACAATCTCACGTGTTTCAATGAAAATAAAAGAAATACACACCATTTTTCAGCCTAACAAATATGGCATCTGTTCATACTTACTGCGAGTATGCAACCTACTTGTTGGCATGCCTGCTGAGATGCTTCTTGTAGTTGTTCTCCAGGAATATGTCACCATCGTATTTCTCGTGGCGGCTCCAGTCATTCATATCAAGTGGGTCATGTTGCACCTGTGCAAAAGACCGTGATTCACGGAAATCTTTCTTCATGTGCTTCTTATTCTTCCGGCCTCGTGGGACTGGCGTATTCAAACCTAAAATTGGAAGTATGTATGAATCTCACTAATTACATATATATGATCATACAACATTAGTTGCTTTTACCTTTTACAGTAGAGTTCAAGCAGAATTCACAAAGCTTATTTCCCTACTGATTATTCATGACTGTTGTTATAAACAAAAACATGCTTATGTTGTCTGCAATTTTCTTAACAGATTCCAACAAAACACAATGTGTGCTGAGGAATTTTTCTAACCTTCATTAGAACAGATAATTAGAAATTCATTTTTTTTATTTGTTTCATTCTGGTCCCTCACACTAACAATTACAAAGGCAAAACTAATACCGTCTAATGTGACTATTTAAGTTTTATCACTTGAGGATTTATCTCCCTTACATGTTTCGATCCTTACCGATCATCCTCAGAGGGTATCAATACGTTCGGAAACTACTATTACAATAGATGTTAATTGTATGGATACACATATGATGTCTAAAATGCACAATATACGCAATGTTCAACCTTCCNGTATCCATACAATTAACATCTATTGTAATAGTAGTTTCCGAAAGTACTGATACCCTCTGAGGATGATCCGTAAGGATTGAAACATGTAAGGGAGATAAATCCTCAAGTGATAAAACTTAAACAGTCACATTAGACGGTATTATTTTTGCCTTTGTAAAAAATTCATAATTATAATTATGCTTTGCATGACTTCAAAACTGCCACTATATTCAAAAGACTGCATTATTTTGATATACTATTATGAAGGACTGTTCATAACATTGTATTACCTGCCCTTCACCTTCACAAGCTGCTGGTTATCAGGGTATCAGTCAAAAACAGCAGAAACTTCCAAAATCTTTCATTCATCACATTAAAAAAAAAAGTTAGTGGAAAGGGGGAATACCTTAAAAAGGAGTGAAAGTGTGCTAATACTGGCACACACATTCTTTCTGTAAAAAATAAAGAAAGGGTCCACCTTCAACCACACTTGTAAGCTGAATGTAAGCACATGTCATGATTTTGGCAGATAAAATTACTTACCCAAGTGATTTCTTGGAAACCTGGTCTCTCCGTTTTCTGATGGCGTAATTAGATCCCAAATAAAACTGCGGATTTTGTCATCACCACGATAATATCTCAAACAGAACAGCAACTGAAAAAAGAATTCACTATGCAAATTCTAGCCACAGAACTCTTGTTCCCACACCAGAGTAACTAGAAATGTAAGTGTAACTTACCACTAGGAGTAACTAAGGTATCAGATCTATTAGATAAGCTATCAATTTCATTCAGAGTTTTCTTCCACATACCAAATCAAATCTATTACGGAATAAAAATTGTCAAGGTAAAGCTATCCCTGCAGCAAGCCATGAGGGCCCACAGGGTTGTCAGCCATATGCACCAGCTGCCCTCTACTCCCAAGGAAGATTCCTGGTATTCATGTCTGTTAGAGCCTGAGTCTACCCCATGGGACATAGTGAGACTGGAAGGATTAGTTCTGTATGGTTAATAAACTAAATTTTTACTCAAAATATTACACTGAAAATGGGTATCTACTACTCGTGGAAGACTCTGTATTGTAAATCTACCTACTCTGAATCCAATATTATCTGTGCCCTTATGTTTGACTGCAGTGTAACTTATAGGTGAATATCCCCCCACCAATTGCAAATAGGGTCACTTACAAATCACAATAATACTATAAGATTCTAAAGAGTTCTGACAATGGTAACAAAGACTGAAAACCCACTAATTCCAAGTAATTTCAAGCATAACAATACTTACTATAACACGGGCACAGTCTTCTACATCACTTTCTCTCCACCCTCGACGGAAGTGACTGTGAGCAAGTATCTCTGGCCACCTTCCCCACCTTCAAGAAATCGACAACTTTTTCAAACCTGGACTTCAGGTAATTACGATTTCAAAACCACTATCATTTTATGTGTCAGTCCTTTTCAATCAACTCAAAGACAGCCTTGAGCTATCTCAGTATTAGCATGGCAAATCATCATAAATATCAGTAACAAGTCACTTCACTACAGCCTAAAGGCAGAAACTCATTCTAAAATAAAACACAGCTTCATAACAAATCACATTCAAAATACAGCATTTCATCTAGAGCAAACTTTGTTTTGAAACAATAATTGAACAGAAATGTTATTGGAAGAGTCACACTAATGTGATATAATTTCCATTCAGTTGCAGGATTGAAATCAATGTGAATTAAGCTCAGGAATCTCATGGGAAGCGCAAAAGAGTAGAAAAATATAAAACAATGGAATTCATATGAGTGCTGAATATTCTCTGCCATGACCCTTCTAGATTCACATCAAAAATACTTCTTGGCCTTTAAAAAAAGTTATTTCAGGCCCTGACATGTATACATTCATATATTTAGATACATTATGGTTTACTGTAGGGCAGTGGTTCTCAATGTTAGTGAGACCGTGGCCCAGTAAATTCTTTTTTTATAAGACAGGCACAAGCTATAACTGATGCCAGGGCCTGGTACCAGGTCGCAGCCCAGAGATTATGAAACACTGCTGTCGGGTATACTCCAAAGTAAAAACTTAAACTGATCCTAGTGTTTGAATCTCAAGCACAACCATCTGCAGGAACAAATATGACAGTTCTGGAACTCACTAAACTGGACCTGATGAAATATGTGGGCTTCAAAGGTTTAATATTCTGAAAAATATTAAGATACCATCATGTGTGTGGGTGACTACAGACAAAGAGTTTCAATTTTAGATTGTATTTATTGACCACTTTAACACAAGACTGATGACTACATTTAATTACAGCACCACTGCTATCTCCACACTTCATGAATCACTACAGCACATGCCATGTCTTTTCAGTCTGCTGCGTCTTCACCAGTAGTTCCCTGGTAACGGTTTCTAAAAGCAGAGATACTTCTGCTTCCATGCTCACTTCATTGCCTGCTGATTCTCAACTGCACTGACTAAGTCTTCTCCTACAGACTCCCATACAAATGACTAATTTCTAAACCTGTCCCACTGACCTCTTGGCACAGACCATGCAGAAAACACCTCGTCCAACAGTTCCTCTATCACTATGTCTGGATTCTTTGCTGTGGGAACATGTTTGTTTGTGAAGGTGTTACTCAGTAATGGTTGTCTATTGGCTTATTAAGAATCTGTTGCCTAGCAGTGGATGTTGTTTCGCTGTTTGTTTCACAATCATTACCTAGTAATGAGTCTACACACTACAATACCCCCACCTTAAGCCTATTCGTCCCAAACAGCCTACTGGCATACCGCTCCTTTTTCTTTTCTGAAGAATGTGCCTCTAACACCTGTGATCAGTTTCACCCTTCTTCGCTGTGGCTCAGTTCTCACAGTGGTTACTCTCCAACTGCTCCTTCCTTACCTACCTTTAGGCTACTCATCCCCAGTGGTTCCTTCATAAGGTGTAAGTTGGTTCAGGTCTATTACCATCATCCTTTCCACAGTCATGGTTCTGCTATTGCTTGTCAGTCAACAGATGAGGCACAGATACTTTGTTGTAATGAATCACATATTCAGATGGTGTCCATACGATCTGGGCACGATCCACATGACATTCAAACTTCATCAGCCAATTCATGTTTCCCTGAATAACTTCCTTGATTCATGCCACATTTTCATCAATGTTGCTAGTGAACAGATATCCTGAACACTCAGCACTCTTAACTTATGTCACTCCACATGTGAGCTCAGAAAATCATTGAAATGATTCAGTTATGCTCACTTTTTCTTCTATAAAAACAAGCGTTAACTTCTCTTCAGTTTCTGTAGCAGTTTTGATTAGTACGAGTATGAAGCATACCTTACTGCACGTACACTTTCTCATGACATCTAATTTTCCAATAGAATGCACTCCACAGATGCTATAGAACACAATACCACTTTATGACTTACTTCTGAATGACACATGCTAGAAGCCTGAAGTGAATGGCAAATGGCAGATGAGTTCTGTCACAACTGCACTGTTACACTGTAGCCAGTCTCAAAACTAACTATTCACATTGTGTATGACATCAGAATGTTGTTGTCCAGTAGTACTGCCCATAAGACAAGGTTCTCATGAAACAGTATTTTGTGTGTAAAACTCTTCACACTTTAAAATACTTTACATTAAAACACTTTTGTGCAGTAAAAAGAGTATTATGGACATACAAGATTTTGGACACAATCATTTACACTTCATCAACTGATGACATGTAGGGATGGGGACATGCCAACACAGTGCCTGGACATTACTACTTCCATCCATTCTTCACGGAAATAAATTTCATTCACAATGTAAACGGTCGGACCATCACAAACATATTGAAACTGCATTTTACAATTGCTGACATGCTGATACTATACAACTATCTTTATTTCAATGTAATTCATCAAATGGTAATAAAACTACAATATGATACTGCACCTAGAATGTATAAAGCATGTCTGTCATGTGTGTTCTAAAAATACTAAGTGATCAACATACCCGAATGTCAAAAGACCTCTTTCAACTTTGAAGCACTCACTTCGGGCCCAACTGCCATACACAATTTCACCATCTTTGGGGACATAATCGTCACTCAAGAACTTCAACCTTGATTTTTTTCCATGTTTTGTCTTGCTTCTTCGCCCTGTTAACACATTAATGTACAACACTGTATTATGAGCTTAAGTAACAGATCACAAAACACATTAAAAATTATAAAGGGAAAAAACTGGAGCATATTTCTTCTCAACTGTTACCTAACTGATAGGTGGGGTATGTAGCATGCATGGGACAGCCTGAAAATACACACAAATCTTGGTATAAAACCTGAATGGAAGAGTATACTTGGGAGAATCAGGCAAATGAAAATGTTTTACTACAAAGAGATCTTAAAGAAATTAGGTGTGAGGGTGAGAACTAACTCATCATAGGGTCCAGACATGGGCTTTTGCCAGCACAGTAACAACTTTAGGTTCCATAAAAGCATATAATTTCTTGATCAGTTAAATGACTACTACCTTTTTAAGGACTGTTAAAACAGTTCAGAATCCAAGAGTAAATGTAAGACAGTTCGGATGAACATTCCTAACATGATGGACACATACGCATCCATACTTACACTTCATATAAACCTACACCTATCCCAAACACATACCAGTATACAAACAAGATCATGTCACACTCACTCACTCACTTATGGAGCTGAGATCTTCTTGAGAAGCCACCAATAGTGCAGCCACTCAAGAACCCCCAGCATTTTATGGAACGTGAAGGTTCATTACCATGTTCACAAGAGCCCTCGACTGGTCGCTATTCTGAGCAAGATCAATCCAATCCAATCCATACCATCCCATCCTCTCTCTCTAAGATCCATTTTAATATTGTCCACCCACATATATCTTGGTCTTCCTAGTGGTCTTCTGGCTTTCCAACCAATATCATATATGCATCCCTCTTCGCCCCCCTTTCATGCTACATGCCGCACACATCTCATCCTCCTTGACTTGATCAATTTTACTTGGAGAAGAGTACAAGTTATGAAGCTCCTCACTATGCAGTTTTCTCTAACCTCTTACCACTTCAGCTCTTGTTGGTCCAAATATTCTCCTCAACACCTTGTTCTCAAATGTCCCCTGTCCATAGTCATCCCTTAATGTCAGAGACCAAGGTTCACACCCACACAGAATCACAGGCAAAATTATAGTTTTGTATATTCTAATTCTGATTCAAGACAAAATGTGCTGGACTGAATGGTAGCAACCATTACCCAAATTCAATCTCCTCTTGAAGATGATTTCACACAAATGACAAAAAACCATGACAATACCAGCACAGTAACTGCACAATTTTCACCTTACCTCTGCCCCTTCCAACACCTATGGATGGATCTTCATCACTTTCAGACGAACTGTCTAACTCTGACATATCCACAACACTTTCATCATGGCCATATCTCTTTATTTGTGTGCGGCGTCGGGGCTCAGAAATGACCAATTCATTCTGTAACAGTTTGAACATATTCACTTGCTATTTAAAATAAATTAATTAAAAATATGATTGTTTAACACATACAGACAGGTTCATTTCTTTATGTGCAGTTCCAGTACTGCCTGCGGATAGTCAGGCACTCGCTTGAGGGTGGCTGCTTACCAATAAGATGGTAACATATTACTGCACAGGTCTGACTGGAAGTCCCATGTATGCTCAAGTGTTTCCAGTAAGCCACTTTACTTGCATGATATTACAGCAAATATAAAAAATTGTTATCTTCCAAAATCAAAGTTGCTTCTCACAGAAAGAAAATCATACACATTCAAACCCAGGAAACTTAACAAATTATGCTTAGTGGGGGTGGAGTCCAACTGGGTTCACTCGGCACGGTGGCCACTGACTGTCCTATTGTACGAGTAGCCTGCCCCAGGTGATTATGATGATGGAGAATTTGGTGGAATGAAGATTGGCAGGGGAAACTGAAGTACTTGGAGAAAACCCACCCCAGGGCCACTTTGTCCACCACAAATACCACTTGACCAGACCTGGGATTGAACCTGGGCTGCCGTGAAAAACTTGACAAAAGTTATGTCATAACACAAACAGATAGTGATAAGCATAGGGTTCATTCCAATTAATCATTTCTTTGTTCTTGTGACCAGTCAGCTGCATGTGTTCTCTGCATCTGTGGTGTTGAACCATAAGCACTGAAATATCACTGAAAATTATTTATAAGTAATTCAGGCAGGACAATATATCAACAGATGTCACAAGAAATTCAATTCTGATTACATGGGCTGCTTTTGGAAATGAATATTCAATAAAAGATTGGAGCCATCATGTTCCAAGATATGAAATTTTGCAATTTTACCTGAAGTGAAACTTGGAAGTAGAAAGTGTACAGAGATAACGCATTCTTCACATAAAAATTCAGAAATCTTATTTTATAAATCAGAGTATGCAACCTCTGTGTTACAAAATTTCTGACATCAGTATAAAAAAAGCTTGAATGTCAGAGATACTGCATTCAGCAGCTCCTGTAATATCAAATAAGTGGCTTTAGTTAGTTAGTTATTGGAGAGGGTGGGTTTCCCCATGCACTTAGACCTGTATTGGTCCATTGTGCTTCCCTCTATGATTTCTACCAGTCTCTATATCCTACCGGTACTGTGCTTACCATCAGTCCCACCCAGCCAGCGAGACCAGCTCTACTAGCTGAGAGGTATCTATAATGCTTCCCCCCTCTACCAGAGGTATTAGAGACTGCTGTTGGGCGGGAAACGTCCATAAATTTGGCTCAGTGACCTCCTTTGGAGATATGAGGTTCTTTTACGTGCCGTAAAGCTACGACATGGGACTCACGGCTTAAAGTCCCTCCCGGAGGACTTGTTCCCTGAATTTTTCTGCTCTTAAAAATTTGACAACCTCCGCCAAGTATTTGAACCCGCGTACTACGAGTCATGAGGTGGGAACGTTACCTCTAGACTACGGAGGCTGCTAAATAAGTGGCTTTACTCAAAACTTCAAATCAAGCATAGATAGGACTTCCAATTAAATCTGTGCAGCAGCGTGTTAAAATCTTACTGGAAGCAAGTGGTCCACTTGCAGGCATCCTGCTCCAAATACTGGTGGTAATAGGACAACAAATGAAGAGATGAACTATTATCTATGCAATTCTTCTTATGTCAGAATTTTGTTTTCTTACCTCATACATTGCTATGTGGTGAATACACCTTAACAGCATTTCATTCATCTTTAACAACAAATGAAAAGCTGCCCATTTTCATGAAAAGGTGAAAAAGTAACAGATAGTGAAGAATGTTCTGCCCTACGTGTTAATGTCATTCAGACAGGCATAACTAATAACATAATGGCTCTATCACCTTGTCACTCTCCTCCACTGTATCAATCTCAGCTTTCTTGGCCCATTTTTTCCAAAAGTCTGGGTCATCAATATCAATATCAGATCGAATTCCAGAGGAAGCAAAACTGGCTTTGGAAAATGTAGAACCCTTCTCTGATTCCAAAGTTATGATTTGTGTGCGACGCTCTAGAATCTGGTCAATGTCTTCTTCACAGAATTTATCTCCAGCACTGTCTTCATCCATTATTGCACCATATGCACCTACACAACAATAATGAGAACTGTGAAAAAGTTTACTGATACTTCTGGAAGTTTAAATGGTAGAAAGAAAACTACACACAATGTTTGAACACTCTGAACAAAAAATGCCATTGAACACATTCATATCTCTAATGATGAAAAGTTGTGGTTTGGGCTACAATCAAACAACACATATTTATATTCACTGGTGTGTTTTCTCCAAGACTGCATTTTTCCTTCATATCACAAAAATCATTTTATCCAAGTGGCATTCTACAATGAATTTACTGTCATGAAATACAAACACTGGGCTACCTGTAGCTCATTTTCTGAGTACAATACAAAAGTTTCAACATCTAGACTTTAAGTTAGTGGTTAGTTATACAACAGCTGCATTCCAAAGAGTGGCTGTGAAACTATAAATACAATGCTTAATTTCTGATTTCACTGCCTCTAATGTTCACTGAAAAATACCTTTACTTTACTTTCATGCCATTCATATTAGCCACTTACAATGTGTATTTTAGTCTTCACTAAAAAACCGGAATTAAAAAAAATGACATGAAACTATCTTAATGTGAAATTTATGCAGGTTATAATCAAGTAAGCTCGGTGATACATCTATGTGCCTTATACTGCACATGAACTAATGTAATATGACCCTTAGATCATATCAATAGCATTTTCTGACAAAGGACTGTTAAGACAAGAAAAAGTTCTTTAGAAATAGAGTATGTGACTGAAAAGTGGTCATGGAGCAGGGGGAGACAGCTGATAGAAATTTGAATCAGTAAAACCCATATGGCTTATGATGGGGATTTCATTATAGTGACACAAACCACCGAAAGTACCAATTTCTTAACACTGTACATATGGAAAACCATCTTGAGGGCTTTCTGGCATGTTCTCATAATCAGAGATTCCTAAATAGCAGCCACTGTATGCTTGTAACTTTCTGCACTAATAATACTACAGGTTTTGATTCTGAATTAAATATAGCTAACAGCTCATAACAGTTCTGTCAACACACCTTCTCTGTACTTAGTACTAGTATACTACACCAGATGGCAGTATCCAATGTAAAACAAAATGGCAAAAAATATTCAACATTTGAGCAACATAAGTGGAACCTTAAGTTCCACTGGAAAATTAAAGATGTGAATGAAGCGCTAACATTTCTGAGAAATTAATCTGCAACACCACCACCAACATATGTAATCACTGCAAGGATGTGGTAAATTTGAGGCAGATGGAAAAGTGCAAACAGTGAATAAAGGGCAACCTGGAGAACCCTGCAGTTCAGCTGGCAATAGAAATGTAAGTCTTAAGGGTCTTCATACAATTTCTGAAGAGGTGTGTAAGGCAATGTTCTCATGAGACTGGTGTCTGTAAAACCACTGTTCCATTATATTTGTGGCATGAGAAGTGGACACTACATACCAAGACTGCTGGATGCCCTGAATGAAGATAATCCAGATCATCGACTTCAATCTTGAGAGGCTTTTGCACATGTTATAGACGAGAATCATTTCCAGATTTCACTATTTGGTCTGATGAAGCAACTTGATACTAATAATCGATACAATTGTGTGATGGAAACAAGCAGTTAATTCACCAGGAACATCAGTATAGTGCTGCAAATCTTCCAGAGGGATATTAGTATCATTTTTCCTTCACAGGCACTGCCTATTTAACAGTGCCAGAGGATATCATACCTTGCATCAACATTTTATTTTTTGATGAAGACTTGTTGCTTTAAACATGATGGTGTGCACCCACATTGATGTAAGAAAGCTTTCTTGATGGAGACGGAGAACTGTGGAGTATCCATCATAATTTCCTGACTTTAACACCTTTACACTTCTACCTGTGGGGGACTCTCAAGAAAACACTGTGTATGCCACAAAACCAAGAACACTGCATGGACTGAAGCATGAAACTGAAATTACCCATGCTGCTATTCCACCAGTAACAAAACAGCTAGTACACCACTCACTGCAATACTGTCAAAATTACACTGGTGCCAGTGCTAGTCATTTTGGACATTTGTGACCTTACGGTAAAAAACACAAAAAAAATGGGTTAAAACATCTCCACTCTACTTGTTGGAATGTAAGTTAATAAAGTGTGTATGACTTCTTTCAGGACATCCTGTAAATGTCACCTGACAGATGAATAAACAGTTACAGATTCATACAGAGTTTATGTAACACTTCCATAACATGGATTTTACTGTTAACTAAAATGGCTGATCCAATGAACATAATGTGAAAGAGCTGCACGTATTCCAATTGCAGTAATCAGAACAACCTGTGAAATGATGTATGTGCATAAATATCGCAAAGAATAAGTGTATCTTAAACCAATCCATGTGTTATGTCTATTATTCAAGTTTGATACCAGTCAAAGCAGTTAATCTCACATGTACACAACATGCTGCTAATTATGGGCAGAATGTAAGAGAGACTTGGGGTAAGAGTGATCCATGTTTGTGGGCATGCAGAAAATGGTAGATGCAGGTTTTGCTAACAAAAGATGGTCCTAATTACTAGACAGGTGCAAGCAGAAGAGGTTATATGTTTAAAGAGAGACAATGTCAAAATAAAGAGAAAGTGATGAGAATGTTGAATAATTCTTCAGTCATTTTCATATTTCCATGATATTCACTTCAAAGAAGAAATATTGTCATATCAGCACTATTATTTAAACCTTACTGCCATACTGCATTACACACAATCATGGGATGGACTTTTATGCATTTCATCATTTCTGGATATCAATAGTTATCTGTCAAAATTAGAATTATTAGGAATTTCATAAATTCTTGCAATATCAATGTTCCACTGTATGTTACATCTAAAATACAAATAACAGAAAATACTGCACAATGTGCCTAACTGTGTAGTAGTTGCTACTTATAAGTGAAGAATTTCCAATTTCAACAACAGATCTATAACATATATGCAGTATTTATGCAGTTAAATACATTTGATTTGGTTCATCTGGGCCCGGCACACCTTTTATAACAGTTAAATACAACTTACATAAGACTTTCAACATAGACTCCCTACAAAGTATGTGTAGTGAGGCTGAAATTACCTATGGAACTACTCTAAGTAAACATAAAACATATAAATCTGCTGCTTCACTTAACTCTTCTCACATGCAGCCACTCAAAATCAACAAGAAGACATGCAGACTTCACAACGGGCAAACAACAATGGCCTGTGAATAACTGTATTTACCTGAATGGAACATGGCTCCAAAGGCAACCCCCCACCACCCCAATGAGAAATATGTTTGCACATGAGATGAGATTTTATGCACAAATTTCGTACAGTTACTACAAGCAAACATGTGAAAGATGCTTGTCATGTGTCGGGTGTATGTCATGCGACAAATAACTTTACGCCGTATTGAATATAGCGAATTTATTGAACACTCGCTCTCACAATTTCCCAACTACTGGCATTGGCAGTATCACACTTACTGCTGCCATTCACTCGATAACAATGGACTCGGCGACTTTACGATCCACACTGTGTCATTCCTGATCACACACTCTGGTCACATACTGCTCAGCAGGCTTTTCATACCGTTCCGTTGCCTCGTGTTACCAGCGGTGTCCCCTTGTTACATCACCGCAAGAGGCAACAGAGTGTTTACTGAGTGTTGCGTAATAATGGAAGGAGTGGGGGTATGTGACGTCACTCGCAAGACCGCAGAGTTCACATGACCCCTACTTTCCATTGAGCCATCCATGTCACAATATTTTAAAATATGTTATACACTAAGTCTGCTTCTTTCTCACATTTTCTTTCCAACTTCAAGACCTTTGGTGTAATATCTCTTCATGGAGAAGTACAGTTTCTAATTCATACCTTCAATGGTTCTTTGGGCAAACATATCAGACACAGCTTATGTTTCTGGGCCCTGAAATATATCTCTCACTTCCTCAATTTCTATGCTGATGGCATGATATGGCATGAAAGTTGGCAATGATAACACCATTGAAAAATCATTCAACCGGAAAGTTCATAACAATTATGAATGATCAATATATTTTTCACCCTAAAACTGAAGACTAACCTTCATTACTTAAATACAAGGGTCATTCCGAAAGTCATGAGCAACAATTTTTTGTAAAGTAACACGCTTTATTATTGACAAACCAAATACACCACCTCAATCTACAGACCTTTCTTTATTTTTCCACATAATTGCCACTTCTTTGTACACATTTCTCCCAGCCTTCTGGGAGTTTGAAAATACGCCTTCTGTAAAATTCCGTTCCAGCCATCCGAAGACACTGACGCACTGCTTTCTGAATTGCCTCCCTTGTCTCAAAACACTGTCCACGCAGCTGATCCTTCACAAATCCGAATGGTAGTCGGAGGGTGCCAGATCAGGGCTATAGGAGGGGTGTGGAAGAACTTCCCACCCCATATTTGCAATTGCTTCCAATGTGAGGTGAGCAGCGTGGGGGCGAGCGTTGTCATGCAGGATGATTATGTTTCGTCCCAGATGTATATCACGCAATGCATGACGGAGCTTGTGCAGCATCTGGACATAACGAGCAGCATTGATGGTTTGCCCAGGTTCCAGGAATTCTGCCAGAATAAACCCCTCTGCATCCCAGAAGACTGTGCCCATCACCTTCGCAGCTGATGGCTCTGTCTTTGCCTTCTTTTTTGATGGAGAATGCAAATGTTGCCATTCCATAGTCTGCCGTTTCGTTTCAGGCTCGAAATAGTGAAACCAGCTTTCGCCACCTGTCACAATACAGAGCAAAAAATCGCCTTTGTGTCGATATCTCTGCAGCAGTTCTAAGGTGATTGCTTTTCGCTGACCTTTGTGGTCTTCGGTCAATAACTGCGGGACCCAACAAGCACAAAATTTCCTATAGCTCAAGCTTTCAATCATCTCCTGTACTGAACTGCACCCTATTCCAAGTTTTCGGGCTATTGTGTCCACAGTCACACGCCTGTCATCTTGAATGATCTCATCCACTCTTTCCTTGTTGCGTTCAGTTTAGGCTGTTCGAGGACGACCGCTCCGAGGCTCATCTTCGATGCTAGTGTTCCCATATTTAAAATGTTTCACCCATCTTTGAACACTGCTCGCACTTCCATAAGCACGCTAAAGTCTCTGGTGAATTTCTGCAGCAGGGATTTCTTTTTTGACAAGAAATTCAATGACAGCATGCTGGCAAAATGACATCGCTGTCGGGTATTTTGTTAGGATACTGGTCACGTGATGCAAGCTATTGACATCACAAGACACTCAAGGTTAACACAACAGCTGGTTCCAGCTACCACCGTACTCTCTTTCGTCTGCTGCTCCCAGGTTGCATGCAATAAAAAGTTGCTCATGACTTTCAGTACAACCTATGTAAATGCAAGAAAAACCTAGTCTTCCATTCCGGTAGATATTCATCAAGCTACAAACTTCATGCAGGGACTGGATTTCCAATCATCAAATGTGGAAAAAACACTACAGAAACAAATTATTATAAAATATTTCAATGGAGCCTCCTGTGGGACCATAAAAAATTAACACAAAATGGGGGAATCCTTCAGACTAAAAAACCTTAAACCAGAATTTTACTGTACTCATTTGTATACACAACATTCATTACACATTTCAGATAACTGTAAACACAGGATTTAAGAACCGTCATATTGGTTCATCAAGAATAGTCTCAACGATCCTCAACATCCTTAAAACATTAGCAAAAACTCTGTTTTGTCACAGACAGCACTTCTTAGAATATTTATCTTACTATTGCCCACATGCAGCTGGCAGTTGCAGAGGTATGTAAGTTTGTACTTGTAAAGCTCTGTTACAAAAATAACCTTTCTTTAGCAGATCCTCAATCTCTTTCTTCGAAAGTTGTTTGTTGTTGTGGTCTTTGCCCTGAGTAGTATTCATGCTTTGCAACAACGCCTTGTCAAGGCCCAGCTTCAATGATGCTTTGTCAAACATCTCTCGCTCATAAGTATTACGACATAACAGACGGTACACTTTCACCATCTTCTGCTGACCAATGCGGTGACATCGAGCTTGTGCCTGTAACAGAAAACAGACAACTGAACTAAAACATAATTCATGCCAAAAGTAACATAACAATATAATTTCATACATATATATTGTTACATGTATGTCACTACAGATGTGGTTTGGATTTGTAATTGGATTTCTTGGACTCCTAGAGATCCATGACTACAAATAACTATGACAGTCTGAGTTACAAACTCCAAAGATCACTAACTACAGCACAAATAAACTCTTCTCTGTTTGCTATGTCATGACGGATCCTGACAGTGTCCTCTGCTTCTGTGATCACTGTCTCACAACTAACTTGTGGCTCCAACGGTCCTGCTTATAACATTTCAGTACGAACTGCACAGAAAACATCATTCCTCTGCTGCTGCGTCCAGCCACTGCTTGTTCGTGAAGACGTTACTCAGTAACACTGTTGCACAGCTGCTTCTTTCACAGCTGTTACCTAGCAATGGGCCTACATGTCACTATATGTTCACAATTTTTGGTGGCAATGCCAGAAGGAAAGACACAACTAAGAAGAAAGAGAAACAGATAGGAGGATATTATTAAGAATCATCTTAGAGAAATAGGACATGGTGGTATGGACTGGATTGATCTGGCTCAGGATAGGGAGCACCAGAGGCCTCTTGTGAACACACTAATGAACCTTTGGATTCTATCCGTGATGTGTATGTATTGACCGTCTTCTAGGGCACATAATCTCACTTGTCACTTCACTACATGTTTCGGCATCACTCTGCCGTCCTCAGGTGTGTTATTTACGTTAAACTATTGCACTGCTCGCCATCATGTGTCATTTATAAAATGATTTAAAATGCATATTCTTCATGTACTATAATAAAATTTATATATATTAAAATTTGTTAAGATTTATCATCTTATACGTCATATTTCAAACTCGCATATTATATCATTCTTCCTATATTTTGTGTATACTGTGTCTTGTGATGTGTCCTTTTTTGGCTGCGTGCATTGTAATGCTGGATTCCATAAAATGTTGGGATTTTCTTGAGTAGCTACACAACTGATTGTTTCTCAAGAAGGGCTCAGCTGCATTGTGTCGGTTTGTTACATGTTCACGGTTCCAGGGTTCCGTTACACTGTCACCCATGCATTCCTTCTGCCATCAGGTGAGTGGAGTCAACAGAATCTAGGAGCTTCCTAATGATGATGTAACAATCTTTGCATTATCTGATAATGATTGGCCCTTAAAGTTTAAACACGGCATAGCATAGTTTAATACGCAAAGTGCATGAAACATAACCATCAGTTTCAACCAGTTACATCACACATCAAACTTCAAAGAGCAAAGATGAGGGATTCACAAGAGCAAAATATTATCTGCTGTTTGTTCATGAATCAGAATTACAGAGTCCATTGGATTATGTATACATGAATATTTTAATACATTCACCTAACACAAAAAATGTCAATAAGAACCAATCAAAGTGAATTAGTGCTGTAAAGAAATTATCATGTTCAACACCACTTGTCAATTTGCATACTGCAATATTATGGAAAATAATGACAAAATTAAGTTAACAAGAAATACAATTCCTCTATGGGTTTCCTGATTTTTTTTACTGCCCTGACTATATTTAAGCGTGAAAATGGATCTGTTTCACACAATTCAATATACCTGCAAATCATTCTGAGGGTTCCAGTCACTATCATAAATAATAACTGTATCTGCAGCTGTCAAGTTGATACCCAAACCACCAGCTTTTGTACACAGCAGGAACACAAACCGATCAGAGTCTGGTTTGCTAAACCTGTCAATTGCAGCCTGGCGCAGATTGCCACGGATACGTCCATCTATCCTTTCAAATGGATATCTGGAACACAAACATCTCCATCAAGCCAACAGTACAATCTCACCTGGCAGTATAAAAGTGCATTCAGGGATCTAGAAATGCAACAGAACAGATCTGATTTGCTCAGCAAGATGCAATGTGCTTCACACAGATGTTTTATCATACTATTGGTCTCCGTTTAGTCGCATGTTGCAAGGAGTTTATTTCTGAACTCAAAGTGCAGTACTATGCATTTAATAGAATACTATACGACAACACAAGATAATACAAGTGCACGAAATAAACTTACTTCCTGAACACCAAATAATCTTCTAATATGTCTAAGCAGCGCACCATCTGACTAAATATCAAAACCCTATGACCATTTGCTTTCAACTTTGGCAGCAGCTTGTCAATGAGAACCATCTTGCCTGAAGAATGAATCAGAGCTTGGTAATAACCATCAGGATCGTCAGAACTCAACTGCTTTGTCTGCCGATAATCAAACTGAATTTGTTCCTCAGCACCTGAAATAAACAATGTTCATAAATTAATTTATTGTAAATATTGCCTGTCAGGGAAGAGGAAATTAAAGTACAGAAAGTCATTAAATAATAATACTTTTAATTAACCTCTGAAGTATGTTATTTGCTAAAAGAATTCTACACTGAAATGTTTAACTTAATTCTAATCTTTATTGCTGCTTACTTGTCATGTTCAACACACTGAGCATCTGAAAAGGATAAGCATTTGTTTCTTTACATTGTCTTCTTATGACAGCAACAGTTAAATTGTGGTTCACACACTATCCTCTGAAACTTTCAATATTCTTCACATATAGACACACTTCTGAAAGAGACAATCTTCAAAGAGCAGCTGTGTCTGTGTGTGTTGTGGAAATACATATTTTTTCAAGAATTACATACTTCTGTGTATGACTGAATATTATTACAATTTTGTGAGCATGTCTCACCCATTAAAATCCTTATACTCAATGAAGCTAACATCACAATATTTACAACTGAGATCATGCTATTTTCTGTGATTCAGCCATATTTCAAAATGTCATTACTCTACTAACATCAGCAGCGTGATGTAAGTTTCAAATTAGAGGGGCAACAAAAGGCAGTCTTCATGTATGCCTGGCCTAGAATGTTTGTTTTGTCTGCTAAGTAATGGCTAATTCCAACAAAAAACATTTGCCATTCTTCTTTTGCCTCCTAGTTTTCTATCCACACAAATCCATCTGATGATAAAATATTGTCATACAATACTTCTGTCCATGGAATAGTACTGCAGATAGTTTACCAGCCAAATTATCAACCATATATTTCTTGAATAAAACTAATTTCAAACATCTGGGATAGCTCAGTTGGTATAGAGTCTGGCTATGGGCTGGATGGCTAGGAAACTGGATGTGATTCCTGACAGGAGCGAGAAACTGCTCTCTTCTCCACAGCACCCAGACTCCTATCCAATGGGTAAAGGGGGCATAAAGCTGATCATTCACCTCCATCTAGTGGCAACATTAAGCACGAAACTATACTTCCACTCCCTCATGTCTTCAAGGCACAGTGTTTGTTTAATTAAGCACAGCGAAAACCTTACAGTGTACCTTCACTATGCTTAAAACTCCCTTTTATCATCTGCAGTGGAAACATGTTCTTGGTCTAAAAGTGAGTCAGCCTGGAAAAATTGCTGAGATGATGGGTGAATCTACAACTCAAACACATATTTTAATTTTACTGAAGCTCTAGTGTACACTGTGTACCCAGTAATACTTCTGCACAGCTCACACATCTTGATTCTGCACCATCCGCATTTCAGTAGGATAAAACAGACCATGCAAGTCTTTCCTCCGCCCAGAAAGAGCACTCATTCACAGTAGCATCTCTTTGTAGTATATAAATATTCCTAAACATTCTCAAGAACATGCTATATTCTTAACAGCCTTCTGGCTTCAGAGATTTCACTGCAAGTTTCATGGTTCACAAATGTAGAAACACAAAGCAAATGATATCATTCTTTAGACAAAACAACTACTGATTTTGTGGACAACCTATAACAGTGGAAGCATTTCGACGATGCTGGAGTGAATGGTAGGATGACTGATACACAATGGGGAAAATATAGCACAAACACCATCCCGCAAAAACATACTTATTTTCTGGATTTTGAATAGCACCCTCCAATATCATAACTCCAGTATTCTAATTCCATCAGTGTCTGCATCCTCCATGCGTATGTAACCTAGGTCTCAATGCTGTAAAGTTTCGCTACACACTCATGGGTCTGCTGTTTCATCAATATTGATACTGTCACACAGTGGAGTGATTACAGATGGAGTGTTGATTGGTATTTGGATTTACTGGACTCTTACAACTCATAGCTACAAGCAATTACAACTGTTTCACTAATTCACACACTCCATGGTTCACTACAGCATGTACTAAGTCTTCTATGTCTGCTGTCTCTTCACCTATTGTCACCTGACAGCACTCCCATGGCTGTAGATCCCTCAGCTTCCATGTTCCAAAGCACCAGTTCTTGCCGACTGTTGCCTATGAAACAACCCAACTAGGCATTGCTTGGTCACAGGCTTCTAATATGGGCTATTCCTATGCCCTTACAGCTTAAGAACTGCAATCCCTAACCACTGTCGTAAGAGTACTGACTCTCATAATTACACTTTACAAATCACTATCACACAGAGACTAGAGTTCCCAGTCATGTTTCAACTGCCCTGCTGGATAATGTCTTCCAAAAAACGACATTCCTCTACTCCAGCGCTTATGTCCTCAAGGCTGATGGCTATCTCATGACAAACTCGGTGGTGCTATGCAATGGTTTACAACAATAGGGGCTGCTTTGTCTCCCATTCCTCCGCAGGGGCGACTATGATGACCACCAAAGATAATAAGTATACCTCCTATTTGTCTTTCAAGTCAAGCTGATTTATATACAGTGCCTGAAATATGTCAACAGCATTTCCTGTTATGTTATGCATCCCTTTGTAGAAATACTTGTCAATGGTGCCAGCTTACACACACTTTTGTGTGATTTAATTACTAATACTACCTTAAAGACAAACTGACCTAGAGAAAATTTTGAAATTTTAGATTTCTGCAAATGAGGTCCATGACCTTTGCCTAGTCCCCAACTTTGAGTTAACATCCCTCTCAGTCAACAGGATGTCAGAAATTAGACAAATTCTGGTGGCTCATCTTGTAGTACTCCAAACTGGGGTTTGATTAGTTCTGAGCTCACTTCCACCTCTCTTCCACCTCCCTATAAATTAAGGAAACATTCTTGGCATCCTACATTCTAAGCCATCTTGACTCTCACTGAGGATCAGTGAATTTATGTCAGTGGTGGCTGCTGTAGATATCTTGGGTTACGAAGCCCATGAAATTCAACTAGTCTATCACATACTTCAAAACATTTATTCACATGTTCAGGCATGTTTTTTATTTTCTAATAAGCCAGTATCCGTACAGGAGGTATTTTTGCTTGCAACTAGGCATCTAAAGCTGATGGTTAAGTATTTCTTTTCCTATGTCAATGTCAGTAACAAATTGCTCCCAGCCAGCTGCTAATAGAATGGTATGGAGCCAATCTTCTCTGGGTTAAATAATGGAGTTGTGGGCATCTACACCAAACTTTTCCTTCAAGATTTCTGCAAGACAGCCACTTCCCAGTGGACAATACAACAAATAATGAAACAAGCTACATGATGGAACACAGCATTTCTCACTGTTTATAATATGGAGGACAATCAACCCTGAAACCATCAAGTTGTGTTTTATATGGTCCTAAGAACACAGTCCTCGAACCTGATGAGTCCACCGATGTTTTTCAACTGATTATTAGAACAGCCTCTGTGCATGCATGCTAAGCACTTCTGCACCAAGGTCAAAGAAATAACTTATTCAGGCATATTATAGTAAGCACATGCTTCTTCTGCTTGCAAGGGATAACCCAGGGACTGGTTAATGTCATCTTTACATATCAGCAACCATAAATAGGTTTGGAAATAAAACTGCAAGTACATTTGGTGCAAGAAGTTAAAGGAAAAAGAACTGCAGGTAGTTAGGAACTGTGAATTATAATGAAAGTTGTGGTAAACACTCCCTTTACACAGGATTCTTCCACATAAGTAACATTAAGAAACTGATGGTACCAAATATTTGCTATAATTGGGTTCACACTGTAAGACCCATTCATTTTGTTGTGATTGCACTGTGGTCCATTAAAAGAACAAGTAGCAAACAACATGCATTTCACAGATTTTCATAATTGCAGTTACAGGTAAGGTAAAAGGTAATGTTGTCCCTGTGCTTAACTAATTAAGCACTATACCATGAAGGCGAATGGGGAAGTGGATGTATAGATCTACATTTTCTTGACCCCAGCACTAGTTGGAGGTCAGTGGTCAGCTTCATTCCCCAGCAGTTTTATCCACAGGGAAAAACCCCGGGTACCCACTGGATAGGAGGTTGGGTGCAACCGAGAGCCGGTCTGGACAACGTGGAGAAGAGAAAATTATTGACCTTACCGGGACTCAAACTCTGAACCCTTGGTTGCCCACCCTGTAGCCCGTCACTATACTGACTACACTATCCCGTTTCTCAATAACTGCAGCTATGAAGTCTTAAGTGTATAATTCAATCGGCAGAAAATGTTACAACTAAAGAACAGTGTGAAAAAGACACAATCTTACCATTGAGAAGGTATGGATGAATGCAACACTTGCGAAGCTCCATCATGGTGTTCATTAAATTTGGCACATTTGCTGATGTTGTACCTTTTGACAGGAATGAGAAGTTCCTTTCCAGAATTCCACGATAATATTTCTTCTGAATGTTTGTGAGTTCCACCTGAAAATATGATGAAAATTTACAATGCTTTACTATTCTTTTTGTATGATATTGTGATGTTCTTAATTTGAAACTCAAATGAACTGTGTTCCAGTTCCATACAAACATGCAAAAGGTTCTAGATCACAAATGTATGAAGTGGAAGAGCTACAATAACACAGGCAGAATATTTACTTGCATCATCTGGAATGAGCAAATGAGGATAGCAGTAAGAGCTGACTTGAATCCAGTGTATACCTAGTTTAAAATATGATTAAGATCAGCTATTCAGGCTGAAACCTTCTGTAATTTCCTTCTGGCAAATAACAGTTAAAATGCATGACTGTTTCCTCAAGCATTTTGCAACATCCTTTCTTACTCTACAAACTCAACCACCAACATTAATACAAAATTATAAAGTAAGTAACTGAATTTAATTTTTAAGAAGAGAAGACTTTCCCAATACACAATCTATTTAATAGTTTCATATTCACTTCCTCTCCCAGGGAATTAAGTTCATACTCAAATCCAAGGAGTCAATGTCTTCACATTTACCAATAGAAAATATGTGACATCACATACTGCAATATGTATTCTTTGAACATGCATATTTTGTTTACATTTTCACTGCTTGTCTTACAATGCCTCCAGTAATACAGCATGTACTAGAACGATTGGAGCGGTTTCAAGTGGCCATAATGGCTTTGGAAATGCACACAGAAGTATGCTTCCCACATGGAACAAAACAGCAGGTATTCAAGTTTTGATCACATGCACAATCCCACTCCCCTTCTCTTGGTCCATGACATTACAAAGAGGAAATGGCGACTATATAGCAGAAGGCATTTTGTGTGCTGCAGTTTGTGAAGCATAAATCAGTTGTTTCTGTTCACTGGGCTTTCCCGCGACAATTTCATAGTGATCCCCCATCTGACAATAGCATTAGGCATTGGTATCAGCAGTTTCAGACAACAGGGTGCCTCTGTAAAGGGAAAAGTGCAGGACATCCACGTGTGTCAGAAGAAAATGTGGAATTAGTGAGACAGTCTTTTCTTCATGGTCCAAATAAATCTATACTCCATGTGAATCATGAATTGGAGATGTTGACTATGACCGTGTGGAAGGTGTTGCAAACAGAGACTGGAAATGAAGCCCTAGCATCTTCACTTGGTGTGTAGTTTCTTCAGTCATTTTGATGCACAGTGTACTTTATACAGTGATCTTTTGAAATGCCATTTAATTAAAAAGGCAAAGTTGTCATTGTGCTTGTTTAAATTTTCACTGCTTGTCTTGCAATGTGTCCAGTACTACTTTATACAGTAACCTTTTGAAATGCCATTTGGGTAAAAAGGCAAAGGTGAGCCCTGTGCTTAACTAATTGAGCACTATGCCAAGATGTATGGGGGAGTGGATGTATAGATCCATGTTTTCTTAACATCAGCACTAGTTGGTGGTGAGTGGTCAGTCTCATGCACCCCAATAACCACTAGATAGAGGGCTGGGTGGGCTCCTGAGCCGGTCTAGATAATGTAGAGAAGAGAAAATTCTTGACCCTACCAGGACTTGAACTTCAACTCCTCAGTTGTCCAGCCCATAGTCAGTCACTATACTGACTGCACTATTGCGCCTCCTATACGAGTTGGGTATCCTCTCCAAACTGTAAGCACACCTTATCTCAGAAGGACTTTACAGTTCTGATTTTACTGTCTTCTGTGTAATGAAACCCATCTTCTTAGCTGCTGTACTGTTCAGAATAGTGAAGCAAATTTCATGCCATACAGAATTTTCTTGCAATTTATTCCTGTTGAACACACTGAGACAAATTTTTGTTTTTATGTGGCCTATCATGTGAGCTTCTCACACAGCCTCCAGCTACTGATATTCCAGAATACAAATCAACTTTTAATGCTCTCATTAGCTACAGCAGGGTTCGCAGATGTAGGAAACTGACTTCCTGCATTGAAAGTTTTAAGACCTTGGGATTAATATCAATGCAAACAGGAGACAAGAGTAGCATCATAAGACATTCTATAAATGAAATACTGTATTTACTGGTACAACTGCCCCGCTTCTTTATATGCATGTTTAACAAATTATAACAAAGATGGGTCAACTACAGTTTCCTTCTAACATGAGAGATCAAAAGAAAAAAAATGATAAAAATAAAAAAAAAGTAATTGAATTTTATAATTTTAAGAGGTATTTTGTCTCCAATAAAGATTAGTATTTTCTAACAATATATGTTTTGTTTTATTGAAACCTGACAATGCCTTCCTGTTCTGAAACCTGGTTTCCATTCAGGAGCATCACATTTGAATCAGATCAATCCATTTGCCCCACAGTGAGAGAATTAACAAGGCCATTATTATCTCATACATTTGGTGGGGCAATTAGACAATGGAAATTATTACATGAGTAATTACTTTTTGCAGAAATACTTAATTGACATAGATCCTTCAACAGTGTGGAGTTACTTGCCTCTACAACCGTTTCTTCCTTTGGAGCAATGGACTTCTCTACATCTTCCTTCAGTCTCCTCAGCATCATAGGTTTGAGAACAGCCTTCAGCTTTTGCACTTCTGTTTCAGTCTTCAGCGCTCCAAATTCCTTGAGGAAGGCTTCACTACTAGAGAACTGTGTTGGCTCTAGGAAGTTGAGCAGTGAGAATAGTTCATTCACATTGTTCTGAAGAGGAGTCCCAGATAACAGGACTCGGTGTTCCTGTGACATAATATTCAGTTAAATGTTCAATGAAAGAAAACAAGATGTCAATACCGACCAAACACGTGTTTCCTAACCTATAGGGTGCAACTAACTTGTGAGGAATCAAGGCTGCCTCTGGTCTAGTTACTAGGTGAGCATAAACGTTTTGTACTGTTAAGCATGTACATTCCAGTCTATATCCACAATTGTTCTGCTGCCAGACGAACATTTAGTTCACGTGATCACTAAGCAGTGTCAGTGTGGTAACAGAAAACTGATCAATGTCAATTCATAAGTCTAATAGTACGCACTGTCATTAGTTTACTTTATGAAAACCGTCGGTAAAGAAGAGACACTTTAACTAGTAAATCACATCTTTACTTCAGCTAGAACTTTAAATTTACCATTCTGGTCCTGCCGTATAATAAAAATTAGCTGGAAGATCACAGTAACATTGACTGCACAATTTTTGGGGTGTCACACTACTATAAACACCATGTATTGGCTCACCAAATTCAGCAGTCTCAGCCCTTCAATCAGTTTGCAATTTCTGTTCTTCAGACGATGAGCTTCATCAATAACACAAAGCCTCCAACTAAATTCCTTCAGTTCCATGCAATCAGCAATAATGATCTCAAATGTAGTGATGAGAACATTGAACTTTGGTATATCTTTCCCTGGTATTCCTTTCTCATTCCTGTAGTACATCTCATACTCCTGAACCATGTTTCTACTTGCAGTCCTGGAACCACATAATGGTTAGCTGTTACAAATTCCGAAGTTCTGACTTCTGACTAATTCAAACAAAGAAAACGAACCATTCAGGAATCTTCTTTCTCGAAACACCCGATTATTATTCCATTAAAATAGAAAAACCACGTAAACAATTGCACATAATTTCTAATTAATCAATTTAATCCCCACTCCAAACACTTTAATACTGGAAGAAGAAATGGGAGAGGTGGGAAACAAACTTAGTAGTTTTATGAAACGATATGAAAATTGTAGATGCCTTAATGCACTTCATTACAACAACAGAATTTTCTTTAGGATACTTCTATTGCTATCATTGTTTCCTGTTAAAACAATATCTCCAAATCCAACATGCATGCAAAATACATGAACTTAGTAACAATGAAACCGCAAACATAAGAGAATGATTACATAGGGGCAGGAAAATAATATCATAAATCAAATGTCTTTAAAGAAGGTTATCAGAAAGAAAATTGTAAGTAGATTCAAAAGGGTTCTGACAGTAACACTCTGGATTACTGGGTTTTTGGACTTAATCGATCATCTGGTATTCCAAAACACATTAAAAAAAAACACGTTTCAGAAACTGCATGTTTCTGTCTCAACATGAGAGGTGGAAGCACCTACTCCATTGGATTCATCTGTCCAATGATTGAGTTTAGCTGTTTCTAACGAAACCAACAGCATCCATGTCTCCCACACCCCACCTGAAGATGGAAACAGATCCAGTTCCAAAACGCCGTATTATTTTATTTTTTAATATCAAATGATGGATAAAGCCCAAAAACCCAGCAATCCAGGGAAAATTACAATATAAATTCAAGAGAACAAAACAAGTGTAAAATAGCTAATTAGGTCAAATGTATGGGATGTGTTCAACCAGAAATCACAAATGTCTCTAATATAATCAGTAACTCTACATATCTTAGTACCTGAAATAAAAATTAAGAACTGACGGATATATTCATATTATAAAGTAAAAGATTTAACAAATGAGGGTGAATACATCTGGGTGAAAATACAGTACTGGTATATGTTCAACTACTACAATTTCAGGAACAGAATATTCAACCAATAAATTGAATTAAACCTTTATAAAAATAAGAATATGCTATAAAAATGCGATATCTTTCACCTCCAAAATTTTCCATCTGAATACAGATGCTCCATATTTATAAATTAATCATTATATACCTTTCTGTTCTCTGAAATTACTGTAAGTACAGAACACAATCACAAATCACTACGAAGACTTGAGGGGGGGGGGGTTCGGANGTTCTGAATATTAAAAACATAAAAAACCATTACAAAAAATGTTGGATGTTTCAGGCCATCATTCCAAAGTTTATGAACTTCGCTAAATGAATAAACACATGTGCATACACACTCTTTTTCTTTTGAAAAATCACAGGGTGCTGTTACCAGAGAACAAACAATTATCAAAAGTGCAAGTATCTTATCATCATCCATTTAAATATCCGGAATGCACATAAATAACACTTGTTTGGCTATGTATAAGTATACATGACAAACAGATGCAGACATTACACAGTATGACACTATGAATTACAATAAAAAGGGCACACACGTACTGCCTATATGCATACAACAACAAAGAAGTTGGACGAACAGTAACCTGGAAGTCATTAAAGCAAGTACAACTTTGAACAATCACCTCTCGATAAAAGAGAATACTTACGATCCATGATAAACAATTACATTCATATCGGTCCAAGCTTCAAATTCCCGCTGCCAGTTGGGTATAGTGGACAGAGGTGCTATGACAAGAAATGGTCCTCTAATACCATATTCATGAACGGCATGGATAAACGTCAACGACTGAATTGTTTTCCCCAGCCCCATCTCATCTGCCAAAATGCAATTTTGCCTGAAATTAACGCATACAAAATAAGATAAAATGGTATAAAATAACACACATCCCTATCCTTAATGTACACTTCTCAGCTGCGATACCACATACAGCTTCCAACACTGACGAACTGCCTCCAGTTCTTCAGGGGCTTCTTTCCATGCTAGAGTGTTTCACAACTCACAACATTCTACAATGTATAAGACTATAATAATATCAATTCATCATAGAACAGCATGCTGTGTATCTCACGTCCAAACTCTCACATGTCTGTACTGTAAGAAACACTTGGTTTCAACTAAATATATACATATGAGCATAGATTACATAGGAAGTTTTGTACACTGATGTAAAGATGAGTACTGTTTGCGGATCACTGTGCTGCTCTGCCTTATGACACAAGCTATGCAAGGAATCTAAAGATGGGCCCTTCCTTTCAACTGTCTACCTCAGTTACTTGACATGGTCATTTATGTTCATTACAGGCGGCTGCTTAAGTGGTAAGCAGCTACAACTAGATAAACAGCATTGGCAATAATTTGACAGAAATCATTATTGCCAAAAAAAAAATACATTTAAAATATAGCTCAAATGATATTGTGACTAAGATACAGGCTGGAGTGATGAATCTCTGTAACATGCAGACTGGCTGGGGCCCACCCAGTCTCCCACACAACTGGTACCACGGGCTGTTCCCCTGAAGTAAAGTGGCCTACATGTGAACCAAACATATAACAAACCATACAAACATACATATTCAGAAAACCAACCAAAACAGAGATGATAATAAAAAACAAAAACTCATGACATCCAGGTGAACAATAACTGGTCACATTCAAAAGTTGGATCCATCACTTTCATTACCCCTAACCAATATAAAGAGCCACAAAAAAAAAAAAGCTTAATACCACTATCATTACACAAAACATGGTTACAAGAAAGAATAAATGATACGTACTTCATAATCAAATTAAAAACAAAAAACCCAACAAATAACAGAAACAAAAACAGAAAAATCAACCTCATTTTCATATATTCAAGCAACTATATATACACGACCATGAAACTATTAAAAAAAAGTTAAAAAGAGTGATTAAAACAAATAATACTGTGGCATATTTGTTCAAATCAGGAACAGTATATCTGGAGAGGCAGCCACTGCTAGACACCAGATTCGTAATGAACAAGAATAGATGGCTGCTGTTAGGGAAAGGCTAGCACTTTCATTATAATAGGCAATTCCTAGCTAGTCACAACTTTATCTGAGACTTCTTTTACAAACTTTAACTACAGGTCTCCTTCCTAAGCTATTTATTAGTTGTTGGTCAATAAAGGTACCTGCACTTCTCCCTTGCTTGGAACAGATAAAACCACATTCCAAAATCTGAGAACTGTGTGCCTCCAGATATTTTGCCATCCTGAGGAAGAAGTCCTTAGCATGCAGTGAAGTTCTAATTCACACACAAAAAAAAAAAAGTCAAGAGTGGTGGGTCCTCTAATTCATAATAAAAAAAAGAAAGTGGCCAACAGCAGTGAGTCCAAGAGAATACGAGCGAGTTCACTCCTTTCATGTCTACATGATAACCACTTTAAGCAACTTCAAAAATATTTATACAATGTACCAAATCTTGCATGTTTGTTCTATTATGGCCAGCAAGCAGCATAATAGCCATTTTCTTTCAGTATCTTGAAAACAACAGAACTTATAGGACAGGTGTTGGGACATGAAATATGAATTTCCTTTCTACCTGCAACTTTCATTTCAGTTCATGAATTTTGTGCAAAACAACACAAAAATGCATTCTGATATTGTCCCCCTTTATCACTCTCAGGTTCTAAGTCAAGCTTAAATATGCTGATACACTGTACTGCACAAGGCCACAGTGACAGTAACCCTTATATATTGCATAAATGTTGCTTTGTCCAGTACAGTGACAAGGGGCATAGTGATCCATAGTGATGTGGATACCGTTGACAGCATGGATATACTTCTGCTGAATCTATGGTGCAACAAACATAGCTCCTACACAGAATGACCTCGCTGATGAGGGGGCCCCATTCTGAAACACATACATGTCTAGGAGAAAACTAAAATCTTGCTCATGGATCTTAACGAGACCTGAAGCCAGGAATGACTGTGCTGGTGGAGGCCAGCTGGCAATTTAACTGACTGACACATATCGAGAAAACCACAAGTGTCTGACAGTAACAAAAATCTTGCCTTGGGCCCTAAATGGGGCTAGACATCGAATGACTAGCTGATTAACCATCAGTCACATTGTGACTCTGACTTGATTAATGGACAGTCATGGTTAGAAAGCCAAAAGGAAAGAGACCATTAAGAAGACCAAGATATATGTGGATGGATAATATTAAAATGGATCTTAGAGGGATAGGATGTGGTGGTATGGATTGTATTGATCTGGTTCAGGATAGAGACCACTGGAGGGTTCTTGTAAACACAGTAATCAAACTTCCAGTTCCATAAAATGTTGGGAAGTTCTTGAGTAGCTGTACAACTGGTGGTTTCTCAAGGAGGGTTCAGCTCCATGAATGGACAGCCATGGCTCGAAAGTTAACAGATGAACAGTTGGAGCAATGGGTTAGTTGTGAGAGTCGCCAGCAATGACGTGAACACAGAAGCAAAAGAGTATCTATTGCTGGAGAGGGTAACCAGGCAATGGCTAGTGAAGACATAGAAGACTTAGCATGTGCTGTAGTAAGAAGCAGAGTGTGTGAATTTGTGACAATAATATAATTACTTTTAGTTATGATTTATAAGTGTTCAATAAATCCAATTAATAATACAAACCCTGTGTCTAGTCACTAACATGTGACAATATGTTAAATACAGCAAGTTTTAAGCATAAACTCTTAATATTTCTGTACTGTTCATTTTGCCATCATTTCCTTAACTAGTCAATAACTCCTCACTTTACATTCAGTTTGTGTGGTCGCAACAAACAGCAAAACTGGGTTTCATTGTATGAAAGTCCTTTTCAAAACTAAAAACAAGAAATATTATTCTACCATAATGCTAAATAAAAGTAGCTCACCCATTGTACCACGAAAAGAGCAACCAGTTAAGTCCTTCCAACTGATATGCTCTCAGTTTGTTTCCATTCTTGTAGTTAGGTGATTCCTCCAACTTAACCCACTCATCACGACTTGGCTTCTTTTTTGTCTGCAAAGGCAAGTATATAATGGTACATCAGCTACTGCTGTCAAACTAACAAATTTTTCACTTTTTTAAAAACAGTATATTTTTCAAAGATCTATGACCACACAACACAACAAGCCTTCTTTCACCACTGTTTGTTTTGTTCCCCATTTGGTGTGTTTATATACCTGCCACAATGACAGACAGATAAGTACAATGCCTCTTAATGACATGATATTCATCATGAATGTTTCACAAATATCTACAGCAGAATCGGGAACATATTCAGCTGAGGTTCAAACATGGATCCCACATGTACAATCACGTATAAAGTTTATATGAGAAACTTTTTACCTTGCATTTCTCCTTTGATGGCCGCTTGTTGTTGTTTTCATACTGCTGTATTTTGACAGGGTCAACATCTTCCTCCAGCTCCCAGGTACTATCTTCATACTGCATGGAACGCCACTTCACAAGGTAGTGTTTAATTGTTTTACCAGTGTTAGGATCAGTGTGTTCTGCCATATCCAGCACTCTGTCCACTTCAACATAGTCTGGATTGTACGGTTCATCTTCCAGCTAGAAACAGATTCATGATTAACAGTGGTCTGAATAATCTGGTAAACTTCTAATAGAGCAGATATATGGTCATTCACCACATCAATCCTGATGACTGAGATGATGTCTGCGATGTTTGTCTTAGCTGATCATCCAAGAAGATTTGGCATATTTATTTGCCATTGCGAAAGCTTCAAATCTTAAGATAAATTATGATGGATTAGGTAGTTTGCATCCTACTGTTCAAAGCTGAAAATTCTCACGGTATGAGACTGAAAAATCAACATTCGAACTGACATCATGATATTTTCTTCAGCTGGCCTCAAAACTTGAAGACCCTCTCAGGCCTAAAAATATCTGTCTTGGTCAAGTATAGCCACTTCAAAAACAAACACTTCTTTCACAAGGGAAGCCAAAGGATAAAAAATGGCCTGTCTGGCACAGTTCAAATGCTATAACCAGCCAACTCAATGGAGCATAGTCTTCCCTGAGAACCTAATAGTCACTCTGCTTTTCAAAAAATTTTCAGCTTTTATGGAACCTGAAGGTTCATTAGTGTTAAAAAGGGCATACACACCACAAGACCCTGCCTTAGTCTGTTCAATCCAGTTCACATCAGCACACCATATCTTACTAAGTTCTACTTCAAATTATCCTCCAATTTCACCATATTATACCTTCGTATTATGTTCTTGTGAAAATGAATCCTTCTGGTGCTTCAATAGTGACAAGCATTTGTTTTTTAATGTTGTACTATGTAATAAGCTTCCATTTATATTAAATAACAGTTAATTTCTAAAATAACACATGGTGTAATAACCACATCCAAGTTTCTCAAGACTTCCCTCTGCTAATATCAAATTTCCATATACCAAGCACCATTATTTATTTAACTTAAATTCCCTCCATTCAACTTTTAAATGCACTGTGCCAACATTAAATAAGGATTTTAATGTATCTCTATGATGAACAGTTTAATCTCTGATGGAAAATATCAAAGCAATTTTTCTACAACAGAATGTATATCACAAATTTATAACAAATTAAATTTTATTTCAGCATCCCCCACATATTATCATACGCCAATGATACTTAAAAAATGAGATATGAAATACCACAACACAATCAGATACGCAAAGTATGGCATATCTAAAAGAAAATGTTCACCTGAAACATGAACTTACATTTTCAAAAATATTTGCGTGATGTGCCATTTTCTGCTTGAAGCGTTTCAATTTTGCCGATATTCTCTTATCTCCCTTAAACAGCTCATCCTCAGTCTTCCACTCACAATGAAGGTATGAGAAATTCCTGTACTTAACAAAGTATTCTTCTACCTCTACATACTGAACATCTGATTTACTGTGAATCAAATCCTGTTTGAATCTCTCCCGTATACTATTCTCTTCTTTGGCACTATGTGGCTCTCTAACTCTATCAATCTTCAATTTCATTTCATCAGCAGGAGGTTCTTTCTGCTTGGAAGAAACAGGTTTCTCTTCACAAAGGTCAATACATGTAATACTAGGTTTGAAATTATTATTAGATCCTTTATCTTCATCTCGGTGGCCTTCTTTTATGAAAAGACCACCATCCACACACAGTTCAGACCTCTCTCTCCCATCCACCAAGTAGTCAGGATGCTTCAGGCTGCTGAATCCCATATCAACATGACCCTGTGATACAGGATCCTTACTTAGAACTTCACTTTTAGTAGAAGCATCATGATTAATATCTCCAGAGTTTAACACAACTGATTTGTCTTCTGTCCTGGTTTCAATTTGTTGCTTTATTTCTTTGTTTTCAGGCAACACTTTCACTTCTCTTCTACCTTTCCGAACAGCAAGAATGTATTGGACAACCATAGAATCTTCATCTGTTGTATTCTGAAACAAAACCACATAAAAGATACCTCAAATCAAAATAATAAAATACATCATTCACCTATACAATTCACTTTTCAGTTAACTATTTGCTTTTGCTTAAATTCTAGACACAAGAGTCAGTGTCACTAACAGCATGTATTTTTTTCTCACAATATATTCATGGTTTTCTGGTACAAAAGTAATTTTTAGGATTAATATACTTGAAACACTCTTAAATATAAGAATTCAGTAAACTATGTCTAAAACAAAACCTGGATTAACCACAAAATCTGTCTTCAAAAAAAACTTGTTATGCTTCAGAGAAAGTACAGTGAAATCAAATACACAATTGTGTCTAATACCCGTAACAGAACATATCTACTGTGGGAACAGAGGAAACATTCAACAGAAGAACAGTATGCTTTAATAGTAAATGTCCCTTATTCACACACTTCAGTTAAAAACTGTCATGCCTGAATCTATACAAGAATGAACATTTATGCTGTAAACAGATAATGAATTAGCACCCAACCACTGACAACAAGTATGCAGAATAGGTCAAAACACGGCAACTAATTTCTCTTCACGAAGTTGCCATGTGACTACTATTACACTTGAAACCCAATGAAGGCAGTAACCATGCTGGTGTAGCAGTTGATGCTCTAAACCTATTATCTTAACTAGGGTCTTTCATGGTTTTAATCTGTCAATCCAGGAAAAGGATGGGACACTATCAATCAGAATAAATCACCTCCTTCCAAATACTTTCCAATGCATTATTCATAAATAATTCTACTATTCAATGAGAGTACTGGAATAATGCAGTTGATATAGCTACTGGCTACAGGCTGGATGACTGAAGGGTCAGAGTTCAAGTTCCAGAAGCAAACAAAGAGTCTTTTCCATTTAGAACTCATTTCCATGTTATATTTACAGACAACATGTGTCAAGTTCTTCTTATAAAATATAAGTTAAAAATAAAAACGTGTTGTGTGGTCGGTAAAATTAACACTAATATTGATTAAATACACAACAGGATGCAAGAAACAATTAAAGTCCTTCAAATATTTGCTCTCATCCTCAAGACAGATATCTTATGGCTGAAACTGGTCTGGAATGTAATATGTGATCAGTAAAAAGGAAATGACACGAATTGGTTTGTGAAGCCGCACATTATTTCAAGTGATAACCATGTTTAAAAATAAATCACTTGTACAATTATTTACTACTACAGTTTCAGTTATCCAAAGAATAGTAGCCTCAGCAATAGAGTCTGTGTTTGTGCTGTGCACTGTGGAAGTTAAATAGTGTTCAAACATAATCACAGTAAATGTGCTTATATTTGAATACGATGTTCAAAGTAATGCATCTATGTGAAGTCAGTGGCCTCGTCAAAGAGCAGAGTATGAAAATGCATTTGCTTATTAAAGACTGTTCTCCATTTTGAAGAACAAAGACAAAACACTGTAAGCTGTTCTCTGTGAAGAATGAACAGTGACACAAAACCAGATGTACATGGCAGTACTTACTTACTTACATGTAATGTACTTACATTCTGCCAGTTGTTTTGCCAGAAAAGATTGGCTACCATACAGACAGTTGGACTAATGGTTAAAGCAAAGTGAACCACTTCATAATAAGCTATAATAAGTCTATAACTTTCAGTGTTTCAAAGGTAGGTTTTTAAAGAAAAGGCATTGTTATGCAGTGTTTGCCAAACACTTGTCTTTAAAATTAGAACTAACATACATACTGTTTTCTTACACCTGGCCATTCTTGACAGAATGTGCAGTGGATCTGGTTCAGTCCATTAATACATGGATTCTATAGTGTATGGATTACTCAGCAGCCTTAGCTACAGTGCATCACCCTCCCAACCACAATACAGCCACAACCACTAAGCAGCTATATATTACAATATTTCTCCTCACTTCAGTTAGTCTCTGTTATCACCATGTATCTATGATGAGTTCCAGAAAGAATAAATACTGTCATACCAAAATACAAAGTGGTTCAAATATGACCGGGACCGTTTTTTTAAAAACCATAATTGCCTAACGCTTACTTGCACATGTCAGTCTTCAATGCACTCCCCTCCGGAGTCAACACATTTTTTCCAACGTTCTGGGAGCATCCTGATGCCCTTTTCAAAAAAGGCTTGTATTTGGTGGTGTATCCACTCCTGAACAGTCTGGATGACGGCGTCGTCCACAAACCACATGCCTTGCAAGTCTGATTTCAGACTTCCGAACAGGTAGAAATGACTTGGGGCCAAATCAGGACTGTACGGCGGATGTGCCAGAAGGTTCCATTTAAATTTGGCCCCCCCCAAATTTAAATGGAACCTTCTGGCACATTGTTGTTTTGGCCGTATGGGGGCGTGCATTGTCTTGAAGGAAGGCTACCCGCTTTCCACCTGTCTTCCAATTGGATCAAATTTTTTCCTTCATACCTGTTGCCAGGAAGTCGAGTAATAAACTGCACTGACTGTTCTGGCATCTGTCAGAAAGTCTACATGGATAACCCCTTGCCAGTCGCAGAAGAAAGTTGCCATCACTTTTCCTGCTGAACGGCTCCTCAGCACTCTCTTGGGTTTGGGAGAACTGGTATGCCACCACTTGCGTGATGACTGCTGGGACTCGGGAATGAAGTAGTGCACCCACATTTCATCGGTGGTCACTATAGACTTCAAAAATGCATCACTTTTGTCTTCAAACTGCTGTAGGAGACGAATGGCAGCTTGCATGCAAACCATTTTGTTCACGTCCGTCAAAGTGCGTGGTACCCACCATGCATTCACCTTGCGATAGTGCAGATGGTATTTCACGATGTCTTCTACTACTACCAACACTGATGGACAGCATTGCTCAAAGTGCCTTGATAGTCATGCGCCTATTCTTACGAATAAGAGCGTCTGCACAATCAATGTTTGGCTTGGTGACGGATGTTCGCGGCCGACGATCATGCGGTTCATTCTCCACATGCTCTCTGCCCTCTCTGAAGCACTTACACCACTTAAACACACAGGTCCGTGAGAGACACTCTTCCTCATACTGTTGCTGGAGTTTGTGGTGAATTTCAGCGGATGGAACGTTTTCTCTGAGGAATTTGATCACAATGTGTTTTTCCACGCTCCGCGGTACCTTCTGTTCGCTCATAACTCTAGCAACTCACAGACAGGACTGAACAGGTTCTAAGCTGAACAGGAGGGACGGTGGAGGCTGTGGCTTCTCTCTCTCTCTCAAGGTCGCACACCTGCTGTGCAGTGTGGCTTGTTTACACACAAATCAGTCCTGGTCATATTTGAACCACCTTCGACACATTCTAACCCTTTGTGCTGCACTATGACATGCACAATTAGAGACGGCCTTGAAGATTATGTCTTTAAAAAAAAATGGACATTTTGAGTACCTATCACAACAGCATTTTCATGAATTTTATAAATTCTATTCACATCAGGGTTGTGCTGTAGCTTTAACATCCACTACCAAATTTTAGATCACACATCAGAGTTATTTATGTTCCTCTATTCCAACTATACCTCATTACCTCACGACTTCACCATGTCAAATGTGGTATGTAACTTTTCCATCTCAACAGATATCATACTCACAATATACACAAAGTTAGGTTTCACAGCGGGATCCACGGCATCATCTGAAGAGGCTTTAGAAGTATCCTGCTTAGGGGTGCCTTCCTTTGGGGAATCGTCGTCAGATATACTTAGCATTATATCATCTACATACTTCTTCCGATGAGTATTACGAGCAGATCGCCGTTTCTGTGAAATTAAATGAATATTTCAGAGTAAACATAAGATTTTTAGAATCACTGTACTTTCTCAGATTTACTCAGAAAAGG